AAGAAGATACGTCCCGTAAAATTAAGAGACTTTGTTGAATTGTAATTTTGTGTTTGTAATTCTGTTCATTTTAATTAAGTTATTGTTATTGGTTTATTGTATGTGGTTATTGTTCAGGACGAACAATACTAAGGAGGGGGCAGTGTTGCATCAGCGAGGTCATGTGACTAGTGTCACGCCACGTTTCTAGAAATATCCTGTTTCTTCATGAATGCCCTAGCATTTACTAGAATTGGGTAGTCTGGTATATATAAGATGGTCACAACGTGACGGGATAACAGTGTAGTGAGTAATTGAACTGCAGTGAGAGAGTATTGTTGAAGTTGAGCACGTTCGTTGTTATAGAGCAACTGTTGAAAAAAAGTGTATCGGTGAAGTTATATTCAGAAAGAATAAACCAGTTTTATTAAGAAAGGACTTGTGTCGCTAAAGTTTCGTGGGAACGAAGTTACAGAAAATCAACTTACGAACGGAGACGTAACAATACTATGCCTGCTATATGCTATATTCTTGATCATGCTTTTCACTCAGTACCAGCACTCATCAGGCTAGATGGGATACAACAAACATATTTATGGTTGGAACACTATTTGTATAAGCCATTTGTTAGAATAAGTTATGATGCGAATGCTTTTTTGCTGGTGAAGTGTAATTATAATAAATTTGTTTCACTATAGCCAAGGCACAAACTCCCTATCTCCAATTTTGGCAGCATGTTTGTCAGAAAACTGATATAAAAAGGTTTGCAGTTGAATTGTAACCTTTAGAAACTTCAAGAATCTGGTATTATAGTTAAGATTTTTTTATTAGCATGTCACCAATTTATAGGTAGGTTGGCATAATGTAAACACAAAAACTTGTAATAACACCATCATCGTCTTAGTAGTTTGAAAATTGAAATGTCTTTACCCTATCTTATTCTTCCATATAGTGCTTGAGTTTTAAAAGACTTAATTCTTTATCTTGGGTAATTTATTTTATGGACGTTTGATAAATATCAAATGTAATTTTAAAGACTTTTCAAACATGATGCATATAATCAAGTAATAAAAATTACATCTTACAATAATACTTCACATGCATTTTGAAGTTTATTTAACCCACAAACTTTTAAGTACTCTTCTATAGGGAAAATATCTAACTTGACCCAAGGATAAAATGCTAGAAAAATATTTGTTCTTTTTAAAATCCTACTTGTACCATGCCACGAAACATACATGAAAAAAGTAAAATATAATTTTAAGGACGTTGCTTTAATATAACAGTAAACAGTAAAGAAATAAAATTAAGAAAAAAGGTTAAATACATTTATGCTAGCATCAGAAAATTTAGTACTACTTTTGAAGAAGAGGGAAATGTTCTAATGGGAAAATACATGTAATTTTGTTTAAAAAATATGACGCTAGTTCTTATTGTCTGAAGAGTTTTCATGCAATATATGAAAAACTTGTACAGTACTATTTTGTACCACCTTTGTGCATTGAATTTATTGTAAGATCTCTGATTATTTTTAAAATTTCAGTTTGTGGAAGAGATGCTCAGTGCTTTTATCCTGATCATCACAGACACACCACAGTTTATTAGTTGGAGGTTAGGAGTTACTGAAGCTTCCACTGAACATTTGTCTCTTCTCCTGTTACATGATCTGTTGTATAAAGGTAAGAGCACAGTATTTATACATTGTAGGACACATATGTGTATATACTTTATTGCAACATGATATATAAAGAAGATGAATTGTATAGTTAGCTTAACATAGAACAATTTTCTTGCTACATGATTTTTACAGAGGTAAAGCAAGAATGCGTGCAGTTGTTATAGGAGACTTGTTTCTCTTTTTGATCCATAATTACTTCTACAAATTATCAAAAACTTCAGATAATAGAGTAAACTAACTATATACAGTAAATCAGAGCTAAAGTAACTTCAACACAGTCTAGTATAGAAACTGACTAGAGATACTCATATATGCAAAAAATCAATACATCAGAAAACTCATTATATAATGATTAGTTAATTGAAGAACAGTTTGTCTACTATAAAACTCTTAGAGCTCTTGTTACAGTGTGTACAAGTCTTCTTCAAAGTTTATGTAAGAAAAGCTTAGCTATTTTATGTAATACTGTTGTACATATCTCTTCGTATTGCATGTACTCTTTGCTAAAAGTATTGTAATTAGGATGTAGCTAACATAGAGAACTTGAATATTTTTGTTTTCCTTTGATTTCCATCTCCAAAATTTATTTTTAAGTAACATTTCCAGAACTTTGTTTTTCAAGTACTTTTAACTACTTGACTGGTATCTATGTCATGATGTGGTACAAATACACAGGTCTTATGGCATTGAAATATTTAGGACTATTGTTGGTTATTGAGTGATCACCAGAAGACATCATAGCAATGTTATTTGAATTATGTGAACTTTTGAATTTCTTATAACTAACATCCCTAACTGTTACCCAACTCATCACCTATTCTGATTTCTTGGATCAGCTCAAATGTTTTAGAGAAGTTGAGAGGAGTGCATATCACTTCCCTTAAATCTAATTTATTAGCAGTGCATATTTTTTAGGATAGGAAAAGATTGTTTTTTTTTGTACCCTCTAAACTTTGAATGGTATTTTGAATCAAAGCTTAATTTTTTGTCTTTTCTGTGCTTCTTTTGATTGCTTTTTGAACTACCATATATAATCACTACACCTCCTGTCTTCTGTTTGATGGCTCATTGAGGGATTATGTGAGCATAAATAACTTGTAATCTTCTCTGTTCTGAAAGTCTTTTCATTGAATGGCCTTCACATTTTTTTAAAACTGTTCAGCTACCACTATAACTTTAATCCTATGCATACAGCTGGGTCTCAAAGTATACATATCATGATATTTTACAAAGTTACATTCAAAATATAATTAAACAAATTTATTATCAAATAAATTGTTAAAATTGGCATTAAAATTTTGTTTGTAGTTTGTGTTTATATTATCTAAATTTTAATTTCTTAGTTTCACCATGAAATATTTTAATTTCTCAATCTTCACTTCTTTGTGTAGTGTAACACATTTCATCTCTGAATTCTCCATTTTAGATTTATCATCAATAATAGAGATTTTAGTGCTTATCCAATTAGAAACAAGAATATAAAATTTGAACCTCTTAACTTCTCAGTTTGCTGAGATATCAATAAATTTGTCAAATCCTTAGAAAAGCCCCTCCCATCAGTTTTGTTTTTTAAGATAGTTTTATATATATATCATCTGTAGATGAGTGATGTACAGATTCTCCTACGCATAAAGTTTAGTAAAATTCTTTCTCTATGCTGGGCGGCCCGGCATGGCCAGGTGGTTAGGGCGCTCGACTCGCGATCTGAGGGTCGCGGGTTCGAATCCCTGTTCTACCAAACATGCTCGCCCTTTCAGCCATGGGGGCGTTATAATGTGACGGTCAATCC